ATTTTGTAAAATAACATCTGTATTTATATGAAAAGTCATGGATGTTAATACATTGGATTTATAAGCCATGGAAAAATTTTTGATGATTATTATTGCGCATATGTATTTTTCTTATAAGGATAATGTGTTTCTTTGCTAAAATGAAGAATAGCTTGTCCCCGCCTACTACTAAGGTTAAAGCTTGGATGTACCGCGTCATGGTATTTACACAAACAAATCAGTCAGCAATACCTGTGCCACAGTTACTGCAGCATGATTCATAATGGTCAAGTGGTGGGCCACCCATCAGAGGATGGACTGACAAAGACAGTGGGCTTATATAACAAAGAGCATTAGTCAGCTGGTAAAGAGAATGAAGTCACAATTTCAGAAAAATAGGATGCGTGACATCATCATGTTAACCAAAATAAGCCATACCTGGAAAGATAAGCATTGAGCCTTTTCTTATCCATGCAGGGTCTAGATTTTTCAACAAGACATGAAAGTAGAAGGGGAGCAATTTGGGAAGGAGGTGAGGACTAATGGGGGACGACAAGAGAGGGTAGGGAGCAAGTGAATAAGATAAAAGTGTATTACACGTGTGTATGAAAGTGTCACAACGAAACCCACTATTTTGCATAATTAATATGTGCTAATGAGGGTACTGTTGTTACAAAGAGAGTGAGAGCTTGAAGAGTTTTGACATTGCCTATATTCCATTATCCCTCTATTTTTGGAAAAAAATCATAGATTGATAGCTATTATGAAGACTTTTTTTTTTTTACTCTTTGTTATGCTCTCTGGGGATGGGAACTGGTTTTTATATTAGCCTAAAAAACAGAAAAAATTATACATCCCCGCAATACCTTCTGTTGAATGGAAAGCCAAACACCCACGTTCCCCCTGATCATACTCCTCAACACCATGGAACACCTCACCGTCACCAGCTAACGGCCACCCCCACACTGCCAAGTGGTTCAATATTTTTAATTCTATGTGTCATTCTAATATCCCCAGGAGGGGGAGAGTATATAATGTCAGGTGTAGTAATTACCAAGGCCTCCTTTTTTATTTGGTAAAAAGCTGGCCAAATATTTTCATTTTATAGTCCGTGGTCTCTTGGAGCCTTTGAAAATAACGGCCAGTAGTTCTGCAAGTTCATTAACCGATTCCCTCAAGGCTGGGGAATGTGCATTGTCTGGCCTGCTGTTTTACATATTGTGCCATGTTTTCAAGTATTCCCTTACCTGGTTTATTTCAACATCTATATTTAAAGGTCCTTCATTACTTCCTAATTATCTATGCTCCCTTTCTTTATTTTTCTTGTTAAAGACTAATTTAAAAGAGCAGTACAGAGTCTCTGCCACTCAGAGTCACCATTAACTTCTCTCCCCTCTTATTTATTAGTCCAGCTACTTTAGCGCCGCCCATGCCCCCTCCCCACCCCCAGCCCAAGCCTTGCCTCTGACCTCATTGGTGGCGATAACTCATTTGGCTTTCTCTTCTGCTCTTCTGCTTCTTTCCTTGATGAGCCATAGAAAAGCCCACATCCCCTCTCCCCTCTCCCCTCTCCCCCTCGTCCTTTATTTCTGCGGTTGGCTGTCTACCACCTTCAGATCTTTTCACCATGCTTTGTCAAGCAGCTCCTCGCATTTTTCATTCAAGGCACCTTGGGCTTTGTGGCTTAACTGTGGCTTGAAAACTTGGTGCCCTCGCCTGGTGTGTTCTCTGGGCTTCTTAATTCACCCAAATTGGATTTCTGGAAACCCCAGAATTGGAGCAAGTTCCTTAATGTTTTCAATACAGAGATCAGGGTATTCACCAGAGCAGGGCATCTAGTCGTCAGCCAGCATCAAAGACCATTTTCAGGCAGGAGGGAATCGGGAGCCAGGTGAGGTCACTGCTCATGCCTGGGGCAGGGCATAGGCATTCTTACACCCAGATGTATCCTCCACCAAAGCTTAAGTGAAGTAATGTTCCGGATTGCTGACATTAAAGCTGGGTTTCTGGGCTGGGGACATGCGTGAAAGGCACACAGCCTGCTGGCGCGAGTGAGATCCGGAAGTGCTGTTTACCAGTTGAGTTCCTCTTCCTCACTGACAATTGTTAGCGACCGAGGGAGCAAGTGCGAGGTTTTCCACTCATCAGTTTAGATGCATCGGCCCATGCTATTCCTTTTGACAGTGTGTAGACAGTGGGGACCTGGGACAGCTGCCTCCAATCTACAGCATCCATGGAGGCTTGCTTTCCAGGTGTCACGGGAGCTCCTGGCCACAAAGCTGTGATTAGCTGACATCTCCCAGCTGGCAGCGTCTTCGGAGCTGTGACTGGAAGATGGACACATGCAGTGGTGGGACCACAGCCCACTTGTATTAGTGCAGGTCCCCTCTGAGGGAGAGCTGTGCACCGTGTGGCCCTGCTGCACTGCACTGCAGTTGAAGGTACCCCTTCTTCTGCAGATGCTGGAGCCGCATAGTGGAATGAAGGCTCTCCCTGCTGCCCCATGTCTCTCACACTTCAGATGTCATTTCAGCATCTCACTTCTTGAAGCACCCGAACCGACAGAGTTGATTCTCCTTTTAACCTTGCTAACCTTCTTTTGCCTCCCCATCTGTCCTGCCTGGCACAGGCTCGGCTGTGAGCTCTATTACTTTATGGAGAAGTCAAATGCTGTGTAGGCACTGGATGTACTCCAGGCTATACAAGAATGGAATTAGGGGTCACCTCCAGTTTGGGATTATGTGTACCATTACCCTCATTTGTTAATACGGCTAATTCATCTTACTACAGTTTGATCAAATTGGACAGTTCCCAGGAAAAGAGCTTGTACTTAAACAGCAGTATCACTAGGTGATGCTGCTGCCCTACACAAAGGCAGCAGTCGGGGCTAGGCTTGGTCTGAGCCAGCAGGGCTTGGGGTTCTACCTTTCTCCGGCTGGGTATCAACCGTGGGTCTGTATTCCATTCCAGCATCCCATTCATCTCCATGTTAGGGATTCAGGACTCTAGAAAAATATATTAAGTCAATCTCTTAGTCGCCCTTTTTTAGAGATCACAGAAGTATGTGTGTGAGAGAGAGAGAGAGAGAGAGAGAGAGGGAGGGAGGGAGGGAGGGAGGGAGGGAGGGAGGGAGGAAGGGAGGGAGAGAGAAAGGGAATAGGGACTTTTGGGAACTCCTGGGGGTGATATCTATCTATCTATCTATCTATCTATCTATCTATCTATCTATCTATCTATCTATCTTACCTATCTATGTATCCATCCATCCTCATTTGGGGGAATCTTTGGATTGATCCAGGAATTGGTTCTCTAAGTGTTTATCATTCATCTCACACTTTTGGATTGACAGAACATTGCAAATTCAACAATATCTCTACCCTTTGTTTCTAGATATGGAAGAAAGGTCAACCTGAGGGACACTGACACTGCAAGCTTTATGTAGAGTCTGTCAAGAAGGAGCATGCTCAGGCATCACTCACTCGTGTAGGAGAACATGGAGATGGAGCACAGGCTAGCTGGGCTGTTGCTATGCTTCGCTCTTCATCCTCTCTGCTGAATACAGAGCAGGGAGGTCCTTGCTCAGACTTCTGGATCCGATGCTGCCACCTTTGAGGCCGCCACGCTACACGCCACATTACAGCTATCTGTAAACATAGCACCTGCCTTGCATTTCCGTGCAGAGAAGCTGCTGAGTGGGACTGAAACTTTAACATTGCACTTCACCTCCTGCCGTCATCGCACCCTCCTCGCTCAGGACAGCTGCACCGACACACTGGTGAATCTGTACTTAAGGGAGAATGCATTGTCTTACACAGGAGATTACTATTGGGTGGCATAGAAAATGTATTCATATGATCAGGGCAAATTTCATTCATGTTTCCATGAAGGGATCTCGATAGCTGTCAACCCACTCTTTACATTTTTAAAGTAGTGTTCTAGTCTGTTTTGCCCACTCTTCATGAGGAGTGCTTAGGAGTGTCCCAGAAAAGACGGTTCAGCCATCCACGCAAGCATGAGAACCTATGTTTGGATCCCCAGCATCCATGTAAAAAAATCAGATATGTGGTACATGCCTGTATGTCCAACACAGGGAGGTAGAGCCAGACAGGATGATCCTTGGGGCCTGCTGGCCAGCCAGTCTATCTGAATAGGTGAGCTCCAGTTCCACTGAGAGAGTCTATCTGAAAATATAACATGGAACAATTGGAGATGCCTGCCATTGTTCGTTGGCACACATAGTCACCTACATTAGTAGGTATGTGTCCATGCACACACCTCCACGTACCGCACACAGACTTTTTACCAGCTCTCTCAATGAAGTAAGTGCAGTCATTGTCAAATTTGGTTGATTTGAAGAATGCAGGCTTTCTGGTTTCTCGCCTGGAGATTCTGAGTCAGTGGGTGTGAGGCACACTCACGATCTATGGTTTACACTAGCTGACTGTGACTCTTACAGCCAAGCAAATGCAGGAGACTCTACCTTGCTATACAAAGTGGGTTCTGGCCACGGAGCAGCATATGATTGCAATCAGACTCAGCAGAAGCCACGTGCAAAAAGAGAGGGTGGAGATGTTCATAGTGAGCCAGAACCATCTGCGAGTCATGGGGTGATCTCACCAGGTAATTGGGCACCTAGGGTCACTGCAGCCACCTGGAAGCTTCTGATAGAGAAAGCATTGGGGACTCTTTTATTAACATATTTAATATGCTTGACTAAGGGGAAACCATATACAAAGCTAGGAGGCCTTGTTAGCAAGCCATCTTGCACAGTGCATGGCCAGGAAATAATGACTTCTTTCCCAGGAAAGGTTTAGTTTAACCCTTGGCTTGCCTGTCTCCAGGAGGAAATCGTTGGACATGCATGAGCCTTCTTAGACTAGTGTAAGGGTGGGGATATGTGGGGGCTATACCACATGGAGCACCATTATAGAACAGGGTTATGGCTTCCATGAGAGAGCAGTCTTCCACGCTATATCCCAGGCTGCCTCCTCCTTTATCCCCAGGACGAGGATCCCTCTACCCCATGCTTATGGCTGAGAGGTGATGGCAGATCTTTTTCTGCTGAGCATTGACTAAGATGAAGCGCGGGGCTTAGTGGGCAGCTGAAATCGGAGACGCGTGCCTCAGAGAGCAGGATGGAGCCTCAGATCGGAGGCTTTTCCAGGCCGCGTCGTCTGTCACTCTGCCCTCTGCCCGACACCACACCTGCTCACCAGACCTCGGTAGGTAGGATTCTCACTTGCCCCCTCCCCAAGAAAGCTGGCCACCCCATGGGAAATGTTTTGTTTGGCGGCAATAGCTCAGAGAAAACTGAACACTCTTTTTGTTTACAGACAAACCGTTCTGCGTCAGAGCCATCTTGTTTCCTATCCTCGCAAGAGTCTGAGGGTGGCTTTTCCTTTCTTTCATTTTCTTCCTCTTTTTTTCCCCTTGCCTTTTTCATAAATAAATATTTTAACTGGAAATTTCCAAGTGTATGACAGGCCTAGAATGTGAACTTGAATGTGCTGTAATAGAAATCATCAGTTGCCATGGCGACCTGTTCCAAGAGCAGATCGCACCAAGTCACGTGAGCGGGGAGCGCTCAGTAATACTAACACATCAGAGAGCGAGGCCACTTAACCTCAATCGCTTCCAGCTATTGTGCAGAATGCAATTGAATTTATTCCTAATTTCTGCCAGTGCTAAGGAACAAAATTTCCCTGCAGATTTTAATCTCACTCAGGCAGTGCCAGGCAGTGCTCAGGCGCTGTTCCGCACCCATATTCAGCCCAGCTACTCGCCCACTTTACAGCTCTATTTTCTTATTCTTATCTGCAATAATAGCTTCCCTCTGCTTGCTGGATTCCGCACATCCCCCTGCCCTGGGGAGAACTGCCCTTCTCCTTTCCACGTGGCTGCGCGGCTTTCTCTGACTCTGGCTGTTAATGCAAGGAACACAGCCTTTATAATAATACCAATAAAAAACGACAGCTCTCCACTTTCAGCAATAGTTGTTTTTCTTTCTCTCCTCACCCCAAACCTGTTCTGAAATACAATTTCAGTCTGCCGGCCTCTGACTGTACTTTGGAATGCCACAATTAACAGCCCCACCATAATAAGGCAAAGCCTCGGCCAGTGAATATAATGGAATCAAAGTGTATGTTTTCAGCCTCCCTCGAAGTCACCTCCCTCCTGCCCCCAACCAGGAGAGCAGCCCAGACAACCAGGAGGTACAGCCGCCTAGCACAGAACACCCATTTTGAGAGCTTATCAGCTCCTATGAAGGCTGATAAATCAGAGCGTCTCATATGGACAGTCTCAAGTTAGCGGTGTCATCGATCTCCCCTCCCCTTCTAAGTTATTTGTCTTATTCACTTCCAAAGATGATATCAGAGATGCCAAATGAGCCTTTGTTTTCTGTGCTCTTGCGCTGCCCAGGGTGAGCTGCTGTCTGGTCGCGGGGAACTGGGAAGCAAGCTTCAGGGGCTTAGTCCTTTGTTTCCAACCCAAGGTCACCTCTGGCCCCTTGGTTCAGGTGTTGTCAGCAGTCTGTCTGTGTTCAGAGGCAGGAGGCGGAGTTCTCCTAGCTGACAGTCTTTGCATGGCCCTAGCCCTCCAGTGACCTCCCCCTTTTATGAATGTCACTTTAAAAAAAGATGTAAAACCGGATGGAATAGTTAAATGGAGACGAGGTAGAGTCCAGTGCTCGGAAAGTCTGTGTTGAAGGTCATGCAAAAGGAACCTTAAAAATAGGGAGATTATTGGACAGGTCTTTTGAGAAAGAATAAAGGTGGTTTCTGCAGTGGCTTGCATTAGCAGGTAGGTTCCTCTAAATGGGCAGAGAGAGAGAGACAGAGCTACAAGTCACTTACTCAGCCAGTACCTGACCATTGTTCCAATACTGCGGTGGGACAGGAAATGTGGAACGAGTCCAGGGGAGAGGGAATGGCCTCCTGGAATTAGGACAGGCTGCTAGCAGGGGCTCTGGCTTTACATGAAGAGCCTGGTATCGATGGAAATCTGGGCTAGAGGAGGGAAAAGCAGCCAGAGAGAAAATAGGAAGCCATGTGATGAATTTGATGTCAGTGGTATGATGTTTGGATCTGGAGAGAGAAAACTGCACGTCAAGCTGTTGGTATAGTACATGACTCCCTGCCCATCCTATTGTGGTGGAGTCCCTAGAAGACCTTAGCCAAAGAGCCTGGTCCCACACCCACCCATCCACAGAAAAGGGTTACAGGTTCCCCTCCTTGGGGAGGTAGGAGCCAGCTTGCTAGCTCCTACCCTCTGGGCTGGGATGAAAAGTACCAATTTTTTTTTAAGTGACAATTGTCTCTAGTCACAAAATCGAGTATGTTTCCTAAGCAATGATGGCTGGACTTTTACAGGAGCTTTATTTCCATACTTATTAGTCTAAAATACTCATGATCCTCTTGCCAGAGCTGTTCAGGGATCTAGTGCCTTGGAAGGTTCTGTGAGAATGTTTAACCTGCATCTAATCAATGTTTTGTTATACAGGATAGCCTTCTGGAAGTGTCAGAAGAACACGCCTAGGGAAATACTGAGCCCCATCGGTTCCTACGGAAAAAAGATGGTAAGAGGATGTCAGGGAAAAGCCAAGGCGTTATATCCCTGGTGGATTTCATTAAGGGGAAGGGCAATCTCAGCCATTATGCTAATACTGGCAATTGTGATTTTATTATGTTCGTTAGTCTATAGTCAAGGAATAACACTATTACAATTCTTATAGCTTTCTGAAGTGCTTTCTTAACTGTTATCTTATGTGATCTATTCAGTAACCCTGGGATGTCCATGGAATGTATTTTATACAGATAAAAAATTGGGGCCAGCATAAAATCTCGAGGAGTGGGGGTAAGACCTAGAACTCAGGACAGCTAGGCCCTTGGCATCAATAGACAAGCAGAAAGCTTGGGAGCCTTCTGGGGGACATGGCTCAAGGTGGCCTTTATAGTACAGTTTGCTAGAGCCCTGGATTGGACTCTAGCTGTGAGGGAATGTAAGAGGCGGTGCCTCAGCATTGTGGGGTTTTGAAAGAGTTTGGTATGGGTTCTGCTCAGTGAGTGGAAGCAACCCAGCTCTGTCCAGTCTTCGGTTCCTCAAGGTGTGAATCCTGGGAGCAAATGGAGAGTTTTGTCTCATTTTCTTTTACAAGCAGTCACTGTTCAAAACTGTCACAGAAACAGGAGGACTCAGAGTAGGTGTGGATTCTGAGGTTTGGATACGACAACGCTGGTTTGACCAAAAGAGAAAACAAGACATTTTCAGCTGACAAATGGTGTAAGACACTGGCAGCCTCGCCTCCATCACTATCCTAGACTTAGTAAGAGAAAGTTGGGGTCAGGCTATTTTTTTTCTTTTCAGCGCTGGGGACAGGACCCAGGGCTTTGTTCTTGCAAGATAAATGCTCTACCATTGAGCTGAATCCCCAGCCCTTCAAAATAGAGTTGGAATAAGGATGCAGGGAAAAGGCTTCAGGGAAATGGTCCTATTGAAAGCATCTGGTTTGATAGTTATTTCACTGATAGAAAAAAAGAATCCTGCCCCCACCTTTCTATGGATACTAGCATTGGATGTGTATCACAGACAGTACCCCGAGTGTGCCTGGGCGCTATTGAGATACATCAGTATCTGTATTTTCTCCTTCATTTCTGTCTTCTCATTCTCTTCTGACAAGGAGTTAGTCTGACTGGCTGTTCCCCCTGGGAAGGTGCACAGTGAGGTCTGACAAAGTCTCGCTGGCTCTAGGACTGACTAACGCTGTGCTCCTAGGACAGCGGCGGTGTCAATCCTCAAACAGCATTTGGAAATGGATGCTGTTGAGCTTATTGGTGGTCCAAGTGACCAGGACTTTGTTCTCAATGAACAGACAGTCCCACATCAAGGTCTGCGCTGTCCTCAGTACCTGTGGAATTCTTCAAGTGGGAGAGGGGATTCAGAGTGTAGGCTTAAAGTCCTAATGAAAGACAAAGGTGGGGCTGGGGAGGTCGTCACCTGGTAAAGAAAGTACTTGCAGGAAAGCAATCCCCACAACCAACAGAAGAGTCTGGAAGTATTAGTGTGCACGTGTAACCCCACACTGGAGGTAGAGACAGCTTAATGGTGATCACCTGACCTACTGAGAGACCTTGTCTCAAAACTCAAGGTGGGTGGCCCCCAAAGAATGACACCTAAGGCTGTCCTTTCACCTCTACTCACACAGGAACATGCACATGACACCCACGCCCATAAATGAAGTCCAAAGAATTCCTCAGTCTAAAAGGCACTCTCCAAAGTTAGAAAGAACTACCGGGGAGGTGGAAGAGATGGAGAAGAGCAGAGAAGGCGACACTCTTGAATGCAGAAGGGCTTGCACACTGAGGCCTGACTGCGCACGCCCAAGAGAATGACAAGAGCAGGGATGAAATGCGTCCTTGGAGCTGCCAGGCCAGCACTTCTCAACCTCGGCAGAGATGACGCTATTATCTGCAGTGTGGGCAGTTTTGTGCATAGTGAGGCATTTCCCAGAATTCCTAACCTTTAGCCGTTAGATACCAGTAGAACCCTACACCCCCTTCTGATGGTCATGGCCACTAAGATGCCGCTGGACATGATGTTGACACCTGTCTCCTGGGAGGTATGTGTGTGTCAGTTGTCTCACTTCAGAACATGTCCTCTAGGACTGGGGAGGTAAACTCAGTTGCCTGCAGAGAGAGATCACAGCATCATCATATCATCATCATCATCATCAGCAGCAGCAATCATCATATCATCATATCATCATCATCATCAGCAGCAGCAGCAGCAATAGTTAATTCTGTGCTGCTTACTGTGTGCCAGGCATCGTCCTACTTCTCTTAGAAGTCTTAACTATTTTAGGAGCTAGGGTTAGTCTCTTTTTACAGATGAGGGAACAGAGAGACTAGGGAGTTCGTCTGAGGTCACCCAATAGCAAGTGGTAGAAGCAGCATTTATGCTCATGCCCTCTGCTGCCCGAGCCCACCCTTTGCTCTTGTAGGGCTTTTCCCTTACATCATTTTCATTGATGAAACCAACTTGCTTGCCACACGTATCAACTCAGAGAGGAAACCCCACAATACCGTTTGAGGTGCGAGAGGTGTTACAGTCTCTTATGGTATAAATGTTTTAAATTTTGATAAGCTTTGTTCAAGTGAGAAGACTTGTTGAATTGACAAAAAAAAAAGGCTGGTATTTACAAACCAGCATGTCTCTGGCAATGTGCGAGACCTTCTTCTGATGGGTGGGCTCTCAGATCTGAGCAGCACACGGTTTGTGGGATACCTCCAAGGAATGGGCACACATGTGGAGTTACTGTGTTATTTGTTGATTTCCTCCCTGTCCCTTCTGTACTGGGGAGGCAAGACAACAGTCTATCAGGTGCCGTAAAAGAGTAGGCTGTCCCAACCAAAGGGGAAGCTGTTCTTTATGCTGGAGTAACATACACGGGGGTCCCTGGCTACTTTAGCTGGATTATAACCGTTTGTCTGAACTATTACCCATGTATTGATTCTCAGTTTGTCCCCACTCTGGGTCCAGGACAGATTTGCAGATCTCTGAAGACTATCCTAATCACATAATGTATGACTAGATCATTGCCTTTACACTTTCCCCCAGCTCCGACATGGAGCTGCCTGATGGGAAAGCTAAAATTTGGTTTTCAATTCCTAAGGTTTCCTCAGAGGGGATGATGAAATGCTAATTTGAATTCATAATTTTATGCCGAACAATTATTCCTAGAATGTTCCATTTTGGATTTAAGTTTAAATTGGAGTTTGAGAGGTGAAAAAAACTTACAGGCACTGGGTTCATGTGTTTCATCATAAATTCTCTTTATCCTCCACAGTTAGAAAGATTTTTTAATACTTTCCATACTGTATCTTATTCCTAATTCTATGAATATCATAGTTAGAAAAAACTGATTTTCAGAGCAATTCTTCTGAATATGATAATGAATCCTTTCCCAAGATCCATAAGTCCTGGCTCCAAAACAAATAACAAAGCATCCAAGCAAAGCTGCCAACTCGCGCTCATTATCCCCAAAGTTGGTCAAGGGATCACCCTGCATCTCCAGTTTATGTTCAGTCCCAAATCTGCCCTTCACTCTAGTCTTCACAAAGGGTTAATGTACATTAAGTTCCCACTAAATGACACAATACTCTTCTTAAATACATTATTCTAACCCATTAAAATTATTTTCAAAGCTTATAATCTCAGATATAAGTGACATCACGCATTGAAAGATAACTGACTACAAGGTGGACTATAGTAGGTTCTGTGCACTAGATGACTTTGGCCATTCAGAGAGAAAGGAAACACCTAAGAACAGGAGCCCAAGGCTCACAGACTGCTTCCTCCTCCGGAGGGATCTCACAGCACCTCCTCATTTCCCTTAATCTAAATGAAGCGGGTCTTCCATCTGGGAATTGTCATTCACTTTATTTGGCCTGATACCTTTCACTAGTTATTTATCCACCTCCTATCTTCATATCAGAGAGAAGTTATTTTAGAGACGATTGTTTCACTTGTCTCCCTATGTTTACTATTACTGCCTTGTTTACTTTGTATCTTTTATAAGAATGCATTGAGCAGACACTTTTGAGTGAATGAATAAATAAGTAAATGGATGGATGGATGGGTGGGTGGGTGGGTGGATGAATGGGTGGATGGATGGATGGGTGGATGGATGGATGGATGGATGGTTGGGTGGATGGATGGATGGGTGGGTGGATGGATGGGTGGATGGATGGATGGGTGGGTGGATGGATGAGCTGACTGGGGATTGACGATGGATTTGAAGGACAGATATAGGTTCAGGTGCTCTTTAGTGGTATAAAGCCACTATACACGATAAACCTTTCTGGTTGGCATTCTTCAGGGATCCTTTTTTATACTTTTTGTCTAGGTATGAAGGAAGCTCTCCCATCTCCTCTGCCCCCTGCCAAGGTCCTGCCCTGATACTGGCTCTGTTCTTCTATTGGTAGCACTGTCTTTAGCTGCATCCAGACCTACTAGGACGGGGAGGTGGCACTTCGTTGCAGAGATGCCATTACTTTCCCTGTAGGAGGCTGTCATCTTCTCCCAGAGCGGCACCTTTGGTGCCAATCTCGCTCCGGCACTCGCCTCCTGATTGCTGGGAGCACACAGGCACGTGGCCCGTCACCTGCTCCCCCAGCTTTTGACAATCTCCTTCCTTTGTTTCCAAATCCTAAGCAAATTGCTTGGTTGACAATCAAAGCTTGCTAACATCAAACAGCTGCCGTAGACAGGTGTGCTGTACAGTTACCTGCTGTTTGCTTCCCTCAGCAGGGACTGATACACCAGACAAAATCCGGAGCTGAGTGCCAGCTCTCGGGGCCACTCCCCCAAACCCAATCGACTGTTGGCTTCTTTTGCTTTCCTGGCATTTTTTTTCAGGCTTGGAAACTCACTCTGAAAGTAGCACCTCTCAGTGTTTATCAGTGTGTTGTCTGGGCAGAGCTGCTTGTCTAAAAACCCCGCTGATTCTGCAGTTCTTTGCACATTGGAAACTGTGCTGAAACAAAAAAGTCGCATGGCTCTGGAGGCCTTGATTATAGA